ACCATCTATTTGCAAACGCAAACGACCCGATTGTGGGCCAACGTCCAATCATTCATCGTTTGCCTTTCACAATGAAACACATCAAACTGAACACCAAGGTGAAAGTTGTAACAGATCCTTCTCCTTTAAGCACAACTTGAAAAGACACGAGGAGCTACGCTCCAAATTTTTCATTCAATTTCATTCAATTTCAATTTCAATTTCCAAATTTCGCAAATTTAGCAAAAATTTCAAGCACGTTTTTCTATCTGGAATAGCAGAATGCACATGAAAATGTGCTGCACAACATCCGCGACCATGGAGTAGCAATGCGAAATTCAATAAATATTGCACTTGCAGAAAACGAAGCCAAACTGCGGCAAAGTGTCCATTCCTTTTGGCGCAGTGAGGCAGCATTTAGAAAATATTCGTTGTAGACCTAACTGCAACACATCCACAGTTCGGGCATATTTTGAGAAATATGTGTAAGCATCAGAAGTTGTGCGGCATTTTCAGCGCTATTGTCACAACAGAGCCAATTTATAGTCTCGTTTTAACATTGTTTTTTTGATCTGTTTTGTAGTCATTCTCTTTATATCCTATGTATTACAACAACAGTAATTATTAGCAGAACTGACTATTTTTTTAAAATTAATTCTTATTAAAAATCGGACTGCATATCCAATCCTTCATGATCGCCTGATGTTATAAGAGTTTTTCAGAAAAGGAAATTTATGAGTGTCAACTTGTCGGATGTACTTTTCACACGAACAGTCTCAAAGAATATAGAGGACACAGGAAAACGCACGAGAAACCACTTATTTACGAATGTAGAGAACCCAATTGTGACCAAAAGTTCAATTGTAGCTCATTATTTTGCTTTCACAAGGAAAAACATCAACCTAAACCTCAGTGCGAAAATTGCAACAGATCCTACGGCAGCAAGCGCAGCTTGAAAAGACACATGAAAGCATGCCTCGGAACTTCTTGTTAGTTTCGCAAATTTAGCAAAATTTCAAGTCCGTTTTTCTATCTGCAATACAATGAGTGTTGCGATATGTAAATACATGACAAATTGGCGGTTATCGATATTTTTGATTATGTGATTCGTTTGACGTTAATCTGATGAATGTATGTATTTAATGAATGATTTTGCGAAGAAAATTTCACACCTTTTATCAGTAAATAAAATGCAATTCATATTACCATTAATATTTCAAAACAGGTCACAATTTATTGTTTCTCAACTCCCTGCTAATCCTTTCGCCAATTTCTTGGAGTATAATCAAATATTGAATTCTGCTCATCAATCT